GAAACATGAAATACTACTACTGTGTACTGGAAAACACATTCAAAGTCTCGACCTGCACTCCCCATTTGAAAATATGAAACCTGTACCGTGTGCTGTCATCTGATACTACTATACCAATGACACTGTCCCATGCAGATCAAGTGTAGAACCAGATACTCTAAACAGCTTTAAACACATATCCACACTCACATTGAGCAGATTTAGCACACAACAATTTCTGGTCGTATTCAAAACTTCTTCTCGCTTCATTGCTCTCCTCAGTTCACAGAACACTGTTCTAATTTCTGTACATACATACATACATATGTTGGGCACTGTGTCATGCTAATTATAGAAATTCACTGTGTCGTGCTAATTATAGAAATTATAGCCTAGCTGGGAATGAAGGTGGAAAATGGAACGGGAAAAAGGGGGGGAGGGGTGTATTATTTTAGTCCCAGACTCTGACAGCCGATTAAAATCCCTTTTATATATTTCAACTATACGGTTCGCGTCATAGCCCTTGGCCAGATAATGTAACTCCGGGAAGTAGACGATGAATAGAACACCAAACAGAACCATGGCTGGCTTAAAATTGATTGAGCATTGAAGATCGGAAATATGCTGAAAACAGACTGATGTAAATCTAAAAGCAGTTACATGTATAAGAGATGGGTGGAATGATAAATGTAACTAATGAAATTATGTGAAATAATATTATGTGAGGCGTGCTGACAAAATGAGTTACTCCTCGCGATCCAAGAATGGAGATTGCAGCCGAAAATGAATACTGGGGTCAGATTTATAGAGATTTCCAGTTGATGCCCTTTTTGTTCAAGTCTATCGTGTCATTTTTTATTCCATACTTACAAATTATAATGAATAAACTCCACCTATAAAGTTGATGTATCAATTTCCATACGGCTAAAATCCGAAAGAAGTAACTCATTTTGTCAGCACAACTCACATATATATGTATTTGTACTGCAGACGTGTCCCTCCTTTGTGTGTATGTAACAGAGAGGCCAGTTGGCAATTAGAAGCCTTCTTTCCAGCTCTGAGGGCAAAAGCTGAATTGGCCGGGAAGTCTCGCAGACCACTGACCAGCCTCGCGCAGAGACACATCGTGATGAGAGGCAATTTACATCAAAGTTACGAGCCAGCGTGATAAACGCAGATGAAGGGACGAGTCTCTGTTGTGCGACAACCCACCAGTGTACCCCTATTGTCTCTCATAGCGCCTTCAAATAGACCGAGGGCTTTCTAAACATCAATTAAAGTTTATTCCCTTCAAAGTAAATCAAACATTATTGTCAGCAATCATGCTCTAGTCTAATGTCCAGCCGAAAAAAAGTGACCGGTGCCGTCGGTCTTGCCTAGTGAAAGAACCGCCCCTGCCCAAGACCCCAGTTCCCAGAAGTCGGGAATCTCGCGACAATGTGAGAACTGCTCATGAAGAGGTTACAAAGGAAGGGAAACAGCTGAGAATGGACAAACAACGGTGGTGGATTATGAATTATGTCCCATAACATTACACAAGCAAAGACCAAGCCTGCTCTGAGGTATCGAATAAAATGGAAAGGGAGGGGGGGGGTAGAAAAAAGTTTTTCGAACATTGCATTATCATCCTTGTGGATCCATCTTTTATAAACTGGAGCTCACAGAAAACTGTACACCTTTGCAAAGATGTGGCAAAATCCAACAAAGAAAGAGGAGCTGTGATGAAACCGAAGATCCCAAACAACTAAACACAGCCCGTCTAAAGACTAAAAAGACCAAACGCGGCCATCTACAATCCATGAAGCATGTTGTTCAGTTTGATTCGCATGCATTTTATGATGCTTTACCGTATTGAAAGGGTAGCATTTAGAGGATACCAACTTTATCCCTTTATTTGTGAAGCGTTAAAATATTCCAACTTTTGTTAAATTGATTTTAAATTCTGATAATTTAGTAAGCGGGCTTCCAACCCTGCCAGTCAGGGACAACCCGGGCTGAGAGTGATACAACATCCCAACATAAAGACCGATGGGCGAGATATTTGATAAAGATTTCGGAACTCACTTGACGTATCTCGCATGTGCCATGTCTCTACGGGGGCTGCCCAGTTTGTCACAATTTCATTTAAGTATTTGAGTATTGATGACGGTCATAATTATATCACTTAAACATTGTAGTTGTAACTTAAGTTTTTTATTCTCCACCTTCAAATTGGTTTGTCACAATTTTATTTAAGTATTTGAGTATTGATGACAGTCCAGTGACGAAGCGTCTATATAATCAAATAATCACGGATTCCCTTTCTGATTTAGAACAATTGTCACAGTCAAATTCACCCATAAACGTAAACCTCATAAATTAAATATAAAAAGACGTTCATAATCACCAATGATCAGTATGCCTAACAATAACATTCTAAACGGTTTCATTGCCAAAGGAATAGCCTGTTCACCCCTTTCGAGCCACTCTATAAGCAGCCACAAGCTTTGATTATGTAAGCTGAAAGTCAGGCTGAAAGAGTGTACCAAAAGAATTGTAGGGAACATGTATACAGCACTCAAAAAAGTTTCATTGCCACATATACCCTGTTAAACCCCCTTCGGGCCACAGTTGTAAGCAGTCACAATTATATAATTGATTATATAAGCGAATTATTACACTGGTCGAGTCTATTATATAATTGATTATATAAGCGAATTATTACACTGGTCGAGTCTATCTCACAAATATGAGGGAATTAACTCCGGATAATCTCTTGCCGGCTGCGAGTGCTTGTTTTTTTCCCTCGACTTTTTACCGCCCTATAATCAGATCGTGACCTCGATTATGACACCAGCTCCTGGCCGCGAAACGCAAGACAAAAACAGCCAAATGTGAAATAAAACATTTACAATTGTCATGTTCTACCAAAGAGTTTAAACTCACTGTTAACAGATCTACATGTAGTTCTTACATCTCTGCTTCTTTGCTTTGTGTTTGTGTATTCACATATCTACTAAAGCTCAATTAAGTTTTAGTTGAAATTAATATTTAATGAGATACTTTCCCGATTATTTTGGCGGTTGAACATACAATAATAATAAGAATTCAGAATTTGTTTTCATTCACAACTCAGTGTTGCTGCCTCGATTAAGATTTTTGTGTAATATTTCCTGGCCCTGTCTGGTCTCGTCTCACTTTGATTAACAGTTAAACAAGTCAGCCTTCACCCTTGCGACAGTCATAATTTTATAGCAATTAAACATTGTAGTTGTAACTTAAGTTTATTATTCTCCACCTTCAAATTGGTTTGTCACAATTTCATTTAAGTAGGCCTATTTGAGAATTGATGACAGTCATAATTATATTACTTATCCCATATTGCATGATATTTATAACAATTTTCCGTTCTAAAAATTACTAAGTGGTGAAATCATCTTTTATATGGCCACAAGGTAGGCACGCTGTGAGTGGTTTTAAGAAATTTTGATTTTTGTTATGTAATACAGGTTAGTTGCCTGAGGGCAACACTATGTAACATCGCACAAAAAAATACATGAAAAATAAGAGATGGATACCTTTTTTTTCTCTTTTTTCCACGCTTTATTTGACTTGGTTTTTAATCTACAATGCATGTAATTGATGGAAACAGTTGCTGGATGGTGTAAAGCAAAGATAAACAGCACACTTGAGGCACTGCACTTTTGGAGTGCCCTTGCAGCCCGGCCTCTTGCACCGTCCCTTTTTTTCTGAAAACACCGACCAATGACCAATGCCATTAGAGTGGATTGCTTTGTCTGTGTTGGGAACTTGGGAACTTGGGAACTTGGGAACAAAGGCTCTGGGCACCCAAGCGCCAATCAAGCTTTGCCTCTTGTGTCAAGACTGCTGGAAACTACATGTACCTTCAAATTCAATGGCTCATACCAGGGGAAACAACCAGTAGTGATGGGCAGGTATCGATACCTGGTACTCACTTAGATAGCTATAGGTATCGGTATCGGTACCGATACCTGCTCTAAACATCGATACCTAAGTGTGATTTATCCCCGGGCTGCCAAAGCAAGTGACTTGGGCCTTGAGAATTTTTTTGTTTCTCAAAATTGATAAAAGTTTTCGTAGGGGGGGGCAAGCGTTTTAAATGTATCTAGTGATTTTTTAACAAAAAGGGAAGTTTTTCATGAAATGTATCTAGTGATTTTGCAAAATCTTCACTGACAACCCTGATTTTATCCTCATTGGTTTAATTCAAAGTTGCTAAAAATCTGGTAAATTGAATTGCCTTTTTTAGAACTCTTGTGTTTTTATTTTCCAATACTAACATTTTCTGCAAAGTTGACTTTCCTCCCATACTTCACTTAGTTGTTGTTTTTATTCTCATATTTGGGTATTTCTTTCTCTCTCTCTCTCTCTTTTACAAATAATTTTTTTTTGAGTCTCAGCTAAATAGTCACAATTTGTCTAGACACGATTACCTAAATACTTGGAAAAGTATAGTTGTATTTTTGTCTTTACTTATTACCCCCGGCGTATGTTACCAATAGCATTAGGTATCGAGGTATCGGTATCGATTACTTGAAAAAGTACTAGGTATCGATATCGATACCTAAATTGTGGTATCGGCGCATCACTAACAACCAGGGAAGAGTTTTGGGAACTGCAGTTCTATTTTTGGTATGTAGCCTGAGGGCAACACTATGAAATAAAGGGTTATAATTTCATTTAAGTATTTGAGTATTGATGACAGTCATAATTACAGCACTTTAACACTGTAGTCGTAATTTAAGGGGTTTTTTTTATTCTCCACCTTCAAACTGGTGTTGTAAGGATAGTTTCTCTTAAATATCAATTCAGCTTGTGTTGTTCAATATTCTTTTTTGTATCCAAATCAAAGCAAATTACTCTGTAATATTATTTCAACAATGAATATTTTTTCGTTGAAAACAGTTGAAAAATAAAATTCAACTCATACTATCAATCAATCATTCGTTTTTATTCTTTTTGAGAGTGTTAGTGATAACGTCCATCATGCAGGGCACAGTCGAGGCGGCATGCTTACCTTTCCTTCTCGTTTCAGTTTCAGTTTCGTGAAATATTGCCATGTTTCTTGGAAACTGTCTTGAGTCTTGATATTTATTTCATGAGGGTGGTCGTGTGGTAGTGTGGTGTTGGAGTCAGTGAGTCAGTGAGACGACAACACTTTTTTTTAAGATCCTGTAAGCGTTTGAAACACATGAGATCAAACATGGATAACATTAAAATGATTAATGAAAGTGTGCTCATTGGGTTTTATGAAGCCGAACCATGTTTGTGGAATCCATTAGACCCTGGATACACGGACAACGATCTGAGGCGGAATGCGCTTCAAAAAATCCTGATACTAGGTAAAATTCAGGATAATGGAGGTAGGTTACAATTCGATTTTCCGTTATAGATGCCCTGTAGATCTATCTGTTTAGTTTTCGGATGTAATTTTAACGGTCATGTGCAGCTACAGTACATCAGAACCAGACCCAATCCGTCTTGACTATAGATCAAGATCTTGATCTATATATAGATCTAGACTAGATCTTAATCACATGCGACCAAGGAGCGTGTATACCAAAATAATATTGCACTTGTCTTGCTCTTTGGACTTTGGGCTTTTTTCCGTGGCAGTGGCGGGCTCGCTTTGCTGCACAGCGGGGGTCGGCTACGACACTAGAGGTCGCGAGGTTGGTTTCATCGCCAAAGTGCTTGGGGTGTGTGTGTTTGTGTGTGTGTGTGTGTGTGTGTGTGTGTATGTGTGTGTGTGTGTGTGTGTGACTGTGTGTGTGTGCGCGTGTGTATGTGTGTGAGTGTGTGTGTGTGTATGTGTGTGAGTGTGTGTGTGTGTGACTCTCTCCTCTCTCTCTCTCTTTCTCTCTCTCTCTCTCTCTCTCTCTCTCTCTCTCTCCCTCTCTCTCTCTCTCTCTCTCTCTCTCTGTATGTGTGTGTGTGTGTGTGTGTGTGTGTGTGTGTGTGTGTGTGTGTGTGTGTGTATGTGTGTGTGTGTGTGTGTGTGTGTGTGTGTGTGTGAAACTTTGTTTGGGGAGGAGAACAGGAGGTACAGAATGGTACAGACTACATATCTATGGAACGAGAATTGCTGAGATTTTAAAAAATTACAGGGAGATACACCTGATAAAAAGCGAAATTACCTAATCACGAATTAGTGGTTCATTTCTAGTTGTTGGGGAGCGGCTATTATTCTAGTTTACTTTGGTTTTTAAATTTTCAGAATCTGTTAATTAGTTTTTATTTTACAAATATTTTTCTGAACCTAAGTGTAAGCAGTTGATGATTTGTTACTGTGTTTACCCTAGCAACGAGTTTGTTTTTATTTGGTACGCAAAGCTGCGCTATTTGCATTGTCAAAAATTGTTCCAAATAATGAACTACTCCCTTTCTAGGCTGAAATTCAACATTGTAAACACTTGGAAGCGAAACGAAACACTTGAAACCGTGAGAACAAAGTGAGAAAGTGTCTTGCGTTGAGTTCTTGTGAAGTTGAAAATGCCTAGGCCCAGTGGAACCAGACCTAAAAGAGGAAAGGCTTCTTCAAAAGTAACAATCAGTTTGCATCGAAAAAAAAGGTAATCTGAAGTGGGGTAAGAAGATGTGTCCAGATCAAGAAAGTGGCTATTCTCACCCGCCCGGAAGTTCTCGCAAGATCTACTCCTCCCCTCTTCTCTCTCTCTCTGTCTCTTTCTGAATACTGTCTATCGGTGTGGACGATCAAATTGACCAAAACAAAGTTAAAAAATGATGTTAAAACACAAAAGTAAATTAATTTGGTTGTCTACAAAGATGCTACGGCTATTTAACTTTTCGAATCGAGCCGAACTACGCGGGTCGCCATTTTGTTTTGTACTCTCTCTCACTCTCTCTCTCTCCCCTGCCCACAGACAAAATTGTACGCTTTTAGTAGGCTACAAGTACAGTTGTAATGGAACGTTTGTTCACAGCACAGAATTCTACAATTTTTCTCTTATCACAGTGTAGAATTCTGTGGTTTAGGGTGAACGCAAAATTTGTTGACACGCGCACCGGGTGAGAATAGCCACAAGACCCGCCTGCACTATTCTCACCCCGGGGGAGAATAGAGGTGGCCCCAGATCAAATGGGTCTGACTCGATCAGTAGTTCTATCAACAACGTACAGTCAGTACAGACTCCAAATCAAAGTAGAAATTATGCTCCAACCACTCCAACCTACAGCAGATCAAAGATCAAGTTAGAAGGCCTCTATAGCGGTGATAAAGACTCTCTAGATCTAGATATATCTAGTAGTGATAATTCTGATTCTGAGGGGGAAGATCTAGATCTAAATCTAGAAAATGACTGTGGACTCTGGTTATAGAATTATAGACTTTGACATTCTCCGAAACCTCGGATCCTGTCTGCCGACATTGTCATAGTACGGCGAGGCTCGTTGAAGAAAAGCGAAATGGGTTGGGGAGTGTCTTTCATTTCATTTGTGAGAACAGAAAGTGTAAAGTTTCAGAGCCATTCTTTTCTGACCCTGTGGCAGCTAAAAGGTGGTCAAGTGGGTCTAGTGGACTTATCAATCACTCGATAAATAGACGGATTGCTCTTGCAATGCGGTATATTGGATGTGGCCTAACTGCCCTGCAGACTTTTTGTGGCATTATGAACTTGCCTCCACCAGTGACAAAGTCAAAGCCATCGTATAAGAAAATAAAAAGCAGTCTTGGTGAAGCTGTAAGATAACATTCAAAATGAGAGCATGATAAAAGCTGCGCTATCGAGGTTTAGTGCAAATTTTTGGTTGTCGATTTTCTCCAAAAATCTGCGCATGATATCTCCCTTATTTCTTGACAGATTTCCTTCAAATTTTCAGCATTTCTTCTTTATTGTTTTTGCCACCTTTTGTCTAGCAAAGCCCACGCAGCGCCGATGAGTGTGACAGAAATCGGGGACTCCCGTATAGGCGCTGCGGGCCTGTTTTACCGGACCCGTTTTCTCACGGTGCCATATTTTCATTCACTCGTACGGGCTTGTTTCTCAATGGATGAAAGCGAAACTTGGCAGCCAATGAGAAAAGAGGTCAAACTAGTCACATGCGAAAAAGAAAACTCGTAGGTTACTTGGTTATGGTGCTGTTCGTGTCCGAAGTTTGAGCACTCGGCTACACCAGATTTGGTGGAATTTTGGATTTCTTTTTCACAACCTTGGTTGACAACCTTTTTCCTTTATTGTCTTCAAATTTTATTAATGTATGTTGCATACTTTTTGCGTACCATTGCAAAACACCACCCAAACTCGACTGCATTCGGGCATTCCGCTGAGTAGGTCGGGCTAGCCGGCGTCGAGTGGAAAATTCCATGACGTCATAAAGAAACAGGTCGGGGAAAGTCTACTGCGCGAGAGAGACGGGGAAACCATGTTCACCAGTTCGGCTTTCCAAAAGCTAAAAAGCACTTTTTAGGCTTTATCTTTAAGCCTGCATGAAATTTATTTGCTTTGGATATGATAAAAAGACTTTCTGCATACAAAAAAATCGGGAAGGAGAGATCACATTCTTGCGTTATCGATCGATGTCGACGGTTCTCGCGATCCTGTTATTCCCCCGACCTAGATCTACATGGACTCGTCAGTTTCGTGCCAAGGAACAAGAATTATAACACTACATAGTTATAGCAAAGATAGTACATCGTAGGGTGTAGTATCTTTGGTTATAGTAGCTTACATAAATTCATAGAATGACTTTCTCGTTAGCAAGGAACAAAATATAGATTAAATCTAAAGAATTGGTGACTGAGGGGTCTTTTTTTATGTATAATTACTAGCATTTTCTACCAATTTTGTACCGGTATGGAGATGGGTAAACTTTTGAAAGAAAAAGCGTTGTGGACACCGAGCTGGAGCCACAACCACGTTCTTGGGAGGGGGGGGGGGGGGCATCTGGTGTATTTCAAATGCTAAGGAGGTTCAAGCAAAATTTGAAAACTTCAAATGAACCTAACATGGTCAGTACACTTTCTCTTGTCTTCTGCTCCATTTCAGATGTTTGTTTGCTTTCTTTCACTATCTGTTTTTGGTGCCTGTACACAGAGCACACCTGGTATGTTATGTTATACAATTATACACAAAAATATTGCAAGAAAAGTTAATGGATATCCCATTTTAGTAATATACCCAGGGTACCTTTTCAACCTTTTCGCTCACAGTGATAAAAGAGCCTTTTATACAAAAAAAATAACAAGAGATTTGGAATCTGCAGGAAAAAATACAAAAGATAGCCAAGTTTCGTAGATATATATATAAAAAAAAAAAGAAAGTTGCAGGAGTTTGAATGTTGGCCGCGAGTCCTTGGCCTAAAATTTCTATGAATTTTTTTACACATTTCCCCTGATATTTAAATAACTACTGCAGATACATCAAATATCTTTATAGATATAGGTTCTGCAGGAAAAACTACAATAGGCTGCCAAGTTTCATTCATGTATTCCGTTTATTACGGAATTTATGATAAAAAATGCCTCAAAACACCCAAAAATGTGGACCGTGTTTTGGGATTTTTTCCTTATATGAAAGTCACCCAAAAAAAAAATTTATTAAAAAATCATCACTTTTTTATTTATGAACGAATTTTCAAAATTCAAAAACTGTGTTACTCAGCAGAGATAAGGCTATCATATGCACATTGTTTTGTTGGCTTTAGAGCAAAAAACATTTTTTCATGGTTCTTGCTATTTTGTCTGTTTTAGATTTTTGATATTCTGCATACTTTTATTTTCATTACTCTTGATATCACAGATTTTTGAGGGAAAAAAAAGCTGACATTTTGGGACTGATATATTTTTTAAAAAAAAGTATATTGAAAATCTAAAACAGACAAGAGATGCATTGGTACCTCATTTACTTAGTTTGTTTATGTTGTTTTGAAATTCCTACATTTGTGTTCAGAATCATGCGCGCAATTATGTTATCTTTTTTATTGTGAAATTTCAATTTGTTAATGGTTTTGCATTTTTACCACATTCTCTGAAGTTATATTCAAAAGCACTTATTCTCATTTTAAAGCTTGGTATCTCAGCTGCAATTTAAAGAAAAAAGTAATTGAAAATATTGAAAAATGAATTTTTTCGTGCCACCAGTCTTATCAGGTGTATCTCCCCCCTTAAAGATAACAAGAAAGCGCTTTCAATGCCTAACCCTTTGAGCCCTGAGCTGAGAGAGAGAGAGAGAGAGAGAAAGAGAGAGAGAGAGAGAGAGAGTAGTGCAAACCTGGGCACGAAAAAGTAAATTAATAATCTAGTCCTGCTTCCTTTCTTTCCAGCATGTCTGCTGTATTGCCATGTATAATAATGACATCACTTTGGGATTCCTTAAGGTTCTGAAGTGAGAGACCCCTCTTTATTTCTGGAATTTTATAAAATTCAAGTCTTTTCCCAGGTTCAGAAAGGTGTGGTTGAAATGTAATCAGACCTGCTTCAATCGCCACCTGCCCCAGACAATCATCACTGATCCCCAGTATAAACGATCAGCCACTAATTTCCACTTCCCCTTTGTGTATTTCAAATGTTATTATAGATAATAGATCTAATAATATTAAATTATTATAATGACACTGTAGAAGAAGTCTAGCTGTGTAAGAAAGACAAACACTTCTCCGTTAACAATGGATGACATCTTTGGCAATTTCGACTCCACATTATAATAATATATTTTTTGTTTTGTTTTCAGACAATAATGTTACAGCCTTGGAGAAAAGGTTTAAGCGATATGTGAACAAGTACGTAAAAGAGCTCTATAAAGTGAACGAGGATCCTTTGAAAGCATACAAGCCTAGATGGGAACACTATGATCGTTTGGATAAGTTTTTAAATCCTCTTTTCCAACAGAAGGTAGCCTATATTATGTTTCTTTGTTGTGTCCTTGTGCTTTGTAAATGTTGTTGCTTTCACAAGCAGTCTACTGAGGGGGGCTCTCGTGGCCTAGAGGTTAAGGTGTTGGCCTCTCATTCAAAAAGTCCCGGGTTCGAATCCGGGTAGCGACCGAAAAATTTTCTTCTCTAAATTTGTCTCCTTTCACCTCATTTCCTGCTCTCTAGCAATGTTCTGTCGTCTGCTTTCGTCTCCTCTTTCTGCCCCCAACCCCTCTCCTCCTTTGCCCCTTCCTCTGGGC